TATTGCATTATTTCAGTATCGTGTGTCACCATGATGGGGTTTAGTGTTTGTATGAATGACACTGTGCATCTTCTATATAAAAGTATTGCCCTCCTTAGCTCGTAGAAAAGTTTGTGATGAGCTTTGGTTCATCATGTGACTTTCTCATCACCACCAGTTTTTGGTGGTTATCAGTGCATTACAATGGTTCAAAACAGATATTAACGCTTCAATATGTTGGTTTATTAACAGTTAAGTCTAACTTAAGTGAATTTAAGTTAAGTCTGTAAAACCTAAAATGTTGCTACCATATTTTTTACGGTGAAGTTCTGGCAACCACAGCTGCCGGTATTTTACCGTAAATGTCACAGATTTTTTTTTTACAGTGATAGAAATATACTGTATATCTGTCTTTTAAATTTTAGGACGGGGGGGTCCCATGCTAGACAACAGGGTGAAAAATATAAACCTGAGAAATGAGCAATTAATACCTACATAAATTCATGAAATCAAATTAACACAGTACATTCACACTTATGCTATTTCGCCATGGCAGTTTATTTGGCCATGCAAATCCTATAACATCTTAAAATGTAATTATGTTGATATAATATATACCCATCAAACCAGAAAATAAAGCTAGAAAGGAATTTTGCAGCCAAGTCATCAAAAGGCCAGGAATAAAATCAGAAAGCAGTACCTTAAAAGAAACCTCATACGTGACCCCGAGTGTAAACAAGTAAAGGACAAAACGAGGAAAAATAAATTGGCAAGTCCTCTTTAAACGCTATAAAGAAGAGTCCACCTCAGGCCAACTCAAGGGGAAACAAAGGCAAACAAAAACTGCTATTCAAGCAGCTCAAAACTGCTTACTCCTTCTATTCCCACATTTTCACATTAGTCAAGCCAAGATACGAGACACACAAAATTTGGCTGTGATGATGAACGAGTAGCTGGGCTTGGGAAAAAAAAAATCCAACACCCCCTACCCACTCTCCAATATTCCTCCCTCGCTTGTAGAGGGCAGAGTAAACCTTAACAGATATATTAAGCCCTAACGACAGGGAGTCAAAATACTGCCCTTCTCAGCACCCGCAGAGCAGAGGGGCAGGAGAAAGAAGGAGGAAAAGACAAAAGAGGAAGAGGAAATATGAAGAAATCAGTTTAAAAATGCAGGAGGGGGGGGGAAGCAGAAAGATGCTGCTTCACCACTTTGCCTGATTTGTGCTCAATATGATCATTTCTCTGCTCCTCTGCCGCAGGGGAGAGGAAAAGGTCAAATACACATCATATTTTCGAGAGAGAGAGAGAGAATCAAGTAAGAAAGGAAGAGAAAGAGAGACTATCTAGAGACTGTCTAGACCAGGGGTGCCCAAACTCAGTCCTGGAGGGCCGGTGTCCTGCAGAGTTTAGCTCCAGCTTGCCTCAACACACCTGCCTGGAAGTTTCTAGTATGCCTATAAGAGCTTGATTAGCTGCTTCATGTGTGTTTGATTAGGGTTGGAGCTAACCTCTGCAGGACACCAGCCCTCCAGGACCGAGTTTGGGCAGCCCTTGTCTAGACTCTGTCTAGCACAGGGGTAGGCAAGTTCGGTCCTAGAGAGCCGCAGTCCTGCAGAGTTCAGCTCCAACCCTGAAAACAAAACTCACCTGCCTATAGCCTTAGTAATCCTGAAGACATTGATTAGCTTGTTCAGGTGTGTTTGATTAGGGTTGGAGCTGAACTCTGCAGGACTCTCTAGGACCGAACTTGCCTACCCCTGGTCTAGCAGTTCACCTGACATTCAGAAACACTGCAGTAAATTATGAAGACAATTCAGAATTATTACAATAACTTAATAAAAAAGTAAAAATAATGTTATTTTAATTCATCTATATTATTTGCAATTATTATTAACACCCATGATTCAACCGGATACTTCAAAAACATGTTCAGAAATATAAAATAAAAATAGGCTATCTACATATAAAAATATAGAAAGCTGCATGTGTAACTTAAAATGTAAGTAAATAAAATAAAAGTATCTAAATTAATGATCTAAATTTAAGTATCTAAATTAACGATGAAATAACCTTAGTGTTCAGTCAAACATTCAAACGATTTAATTAAAAATAATAATAATATAAATTAATAAACGAGCTAACGCAATTTAGATGCATTTAAATTTATTTAGATGAATCAAGAAATAAACAGCGCCACCTCTTCAAATATCAAACTTTATAACAGCTACTTTTGTTTAACGTTCAATTATTATTATTATTTGCTTCCACAGAATAGTTTATCATTATAAGGGCAGGCGTACAGCGTCACGACCACGCGCACTCGGCTGCGTTCACAATCACAATGGAACGGACACCCGCGAGGATAAAACACAAGGGGCATTCTGCTAGAACACTGATGCAAAAACATGTTATATTAGAACAGCGTCTTGTTCTTGCCGTGCAGCTTTAAAAATAGCCGTCTCTGGGTCAACATCATTTAACTGCGCCAGCTGGTAATACAGATGCTCGAGTTGGACGCGAACACTAGGATTTTTGCCAGAAATCAACATCACTGGGTGCTGTGAAAGGCAGCTTCATTAATGCATCAGTACCTCTTTTTTCTTCTGACCTCCCCCAGACTGAAGACATAGCAGCAGAATTAACAATATGGATGCAAACAGCAGGTTGAATGGAAATCCCTTGAATACCACCGCCATGATGGAAGATGCTCTTATCGCATCAGTACTGCTGAGCGCTTTGATTGGCTACAATCGCCTCCAATCAGAGGCCACACGATCGCTTTGTGGGACTTGTAGTATTTGTTGGGATTTCAAAATGCATGAAATAACAAAGGGAATACCATGTAAACTCCTTCTAAATGATTCAGGAGTAACTGTGTAAGTCATTCAGAATTATATATATTTTTTCTTGTAAACACGTTTTAGAAATATAGTTTTGTCACAGCCTTAGTACTGTAATAAGTGAGGAAGATGAGCATGTTTATATATTGCCTATAGCTGTTTCTCCAGTTCCTGCCAATGGGGGGCAAACCCAAAAAGTGTTTTCTATAATAGAACGATTGAACATGGAGAATGCATGACATGGCAAAAACGAGAAATTGCAGCATTTGAAATGCTTATTTAATGTTTCTAAGGGTTAAATCATGTGTTATTTATAATATTACAATGAATAAATAATAATAATAATAATTATACAATACCAAAATTACTGTGGTGAAATAACTCTTTTACGGTAAAACCTACAGATCTAAAAAGTAGTATAAGTCAAAATTGGTTGGTTTATTGTAATTTCTTTCTTGCGAAGTATAAGATTAAATGTCAAATGCCTCCTAAAGTCACTGTGAAGAACATACAAGTAGCCTACATGGTAGATGTATTATTATGATTAGTATTATGATATTGATCACGTATCATGTTTCCTGTTTCTTTGTCATAATACATCTTTGAGTTGTTTTACTCAAGTAGCAGCTGAGAGGGCACTAGGGTAATAGAAAGCATTCAAATGTGGAGTCCAGCTATTTACAGCTTCTTGCATTTGATTGTGAGAGTAAATAATGTCCTTGTAACACAAATTGCCTAAAGGTTAAATGCTATGACTACTACAGTACGCTTGCATGCTCTGATGCTTGCTCGTATGTATATGAATGTAAAAGAAGATAAAATGTGTATGCATGACAGATTAAAAAGATGCATGTTGAATTGCTATTCAAGTAAAACATTAGCCTGTCATGTAATAATTGTAAAAAGACATATTACTGTCTATCTTAAGAACAGTATGTTCTTAGATGACATAAATAACCCATCAGCCATATTAAGTTATTCTTTCATCATTTTTTATTATAGCTCACGTACAAGCCAAGTGCATGGTTGGTCTGTTCCATTTCCCCCTAAGGACCTGACTCACTCATACCTCTAGCAAATGATGTCTTTCATTTGGCCAGCATGCATCTCTATGCAGAATGAATATACGGCCAGACAGGGTAAAGATGTCATTCACCACACAAATGTGTGTGGCAAATGTCAGACTAAGTCATTTTAATACCTTTACTCATTTAATGTTGCAATCAAATAAATGGTTTAGATTATCTTTCATCAGTCTACAAGTGGTCCTGTTTTGAGAACGATAACATGCCTGACTCAGATTTAATAGGCTATTATGAACACATGGGCATGTTTTGCAGGTGTTCATAAAATGAATATGAATACAATTTCTAAGTTTACCTTAAAGGAATAGTTTGCTCAAAAATGAAAATTTGTTAAAAATGTACTCACCCTAAGGCCATCAAAGATATAAATGAGTTTGTTTCTTCATCTGAACAAATTTGGATAAATGTAGCATCACATCACTTGCTCACCAATGGATCCTGTGCAGTGGATACAATGGGTGCCGTCAGAATGAGAGTCCAAACAGCTGATAAAAACATCACGATAATCCACAACTAATCCACAGGACTCCAGTCCATCATTTAACATCTTGTGAAGTGCAAAGATGTTTGTTTGTAAGAAACAAATCCATCATTAATGCATTATAGCTTTAAACTTTTGCTTCTCATAAAAAAAATATCCATAATCCATAATAATGCTTCCTCTACTGAAAAAGTCCCTATTGTCCTCTCACATCAAAATCCACTGACATTTTTTTTTTACTGTTTTGGACTGTTTTCACCTTGTAAGCTGCTTGTTCTGTGCATATTTCGCTCCTGATTCAGACGAGACTACTTTTTCACTGGAGAAAACTATTTTAAGAGTAGAGGACTTGTAAGTTAGACTGAAAAAAAATGGTTTGAAGTTAAAAATGTCTTTATTACAAATACACAGCTTTTTGCTTCACAAGACATTAATTGAGGAACTGGAGTCGTGTGCATTACTTATGGATTATTGTGATGCTTTTATCAGGTCTTTGCACTCTCTTTCTGACTGCACCCATTCACTGCGAAGGATCCATCAGTGAGCAAGTTATGTAATGCTAAATTTCTCCAAATCTATTCCAAAGAAGAAACAAACTATCGAGTAAATTTTCAGCAAATTTTCATTTTTAGGTGAACTATACCTTTACTAATCTCTCTCACACACAGACACGCAAAAGGCGAGACAGACAGCCTCAGATGAACGTGACATACATTTAGTTGAACCTCATCCAGGAATAACTTGCAAAATTTGCAAGACAGAGGATGATGCATGCTTTCCATTTATCTAGGACACAATATTTAAACCTACATATTCTCTGCGTGTGTGTCTCTCGTAGCCTTCCCCGATTGCATGTGAATATCCCTCTCACACAGACATGCTCGAACACACACAATTTGCTGTTGAGCTGTTCCACTTGAAATCTGTCTCACTGTCGCTTCAGCTCACTTTATGGTGGGCTGTTAATTTGGGTCCTAGACTGGGAGTTGACGTCACCGGAGCTGGGGCTGGCACAATATACCCAGCTGAGGTCAGGTGCGTATGTAAAATCTATGCCAAGGAATGATTAATTGCGGAGCAGCACAATGAAAAAAAGATCCTCAATGCAAGCCCTGCCTTTGGAACAATGATTTCAGCTGTAATACTGCTGTGTAGGTTATTTTTAGAGCACTTTTTAATGTCATTTTCCCATTTCTCTTTTTTTTAAGCTATACAATTGTCAGTTTATTTATTAATTTTGTGTTATCATAATAAATATAGTATATAGTATATAATAATATAGTAATTATAATAAACATTATTTTATTTAAAAATAAAATATTTACCAACATTATTTTTACTGTAATTGCACACATTATGTTTTTTTTTTTATATAAATGTCTCCAAAAAGTTATAAGGTTATACATAGCTCCATTTTTTTTCAAACATTTTACACATATTGTTTTTTTTAACATCGTAAGGTAACTTACAATTAACCGACGATTTGCAGTAGCGTTTTTATATTATTTACTAACACTTTAGAGTGAATATTCTGCATTGAAATAATAACTTTGGAAATTGCTTAAGAGGACAAGTCAACAGTATGCACTTGAGATGCAACACACACGCATGCGAATTAAAACTTAAATAGCATTGCGGATAAGCTCAGTATGCGGGTAAGAGTCGCTCTCTCTCTCTCTCTCTCTCTCTCTCTTTTTCTCTCTCCCCCCTCGTGGCTCTAGGACCCAGGAGAATAACTCGCAGGACAGTTTCTTTTTTGAGTGATGAAAAGAACCTGCTCGCATCTCCACGCAGAAGACTAAGGGGACTGTGCAAGTCAACTGGCTAGTCTGGATAGTCACCGCGCCGCCAAAGACAGATAAATTCACCCACAATCCACTCGAGGAAGATCTTCCCCCTTTTTTCTTCCATCCCTCCCTCCTCAGACTCCCTCTCCCAGACACAGAGTCCGTATTCAGAGCACCGGGACTCGGCTGGAGGAGCGCGTTTGGATACGGGAGGTTTCTGGAGATCCCCAAGTAGGGCAGCGGCGGAGTGCGCCCTGTCTAATCAAACGATCAATCAGTCAATCAATCAATTCATAATTGAACCGGATCACAGCAAGGAGCTGACAGCCTCCTTCTCATCCACCTGCTCGAATCGAACCGATTACATTAAATAAACCGCAAAAGGTTGATTTGATAGACTGACCAACCAGGCTTGCTGCAAATGTGCCATTCGCGCGCTCAACGCTCTCAATGACAACACGGTCTCTTACTGACGGAAAGACTTTTGCCTTTGGAGAGGAAAACGGAGAGGGACACGCAAGTCTGTTTATGTCACGTTACTGCTGTTGGGACACTCTGAGTGACTAGTTACATTTCAAATAGGCTATTGAATAGTTGAGGCTGTCGCTGGAGTCGTGATCAGCGGGAATGAGACTGAGGGAATCCGCCGCAGCTCGGAGAACTGGGCTGGCTTTCGCTCGGGAAATACAAGGCTAGATATACAACTTTTGTATTAGACTCTATCTTTCGATATGGAGCGATCGGCATCGCTGGACATCGAGGCGCTGAAGGTGAGTTGCTGATGTGACAGCGTATAGTGTGTGTCTGGGGCTCAGTGCGCGGTGGTGGTGGGGTACTGGATTTTGTGCGTGGGGTGCATTTCAATAACCCTCGTTCAAGTTGCGGCCATTAAAGGCACAGCTGCCGATGTCTGGGGCTGCTGTTAAAGCTTCGTGATCACCTGTCAATACGCAAATAGTTCGCGTATTTTGCTAACAAACCATACATGCAGAATGGATTTCTGAAGAAGAAGAAAAAAAGAGTCTTTCCTCCGTTCAACCCCTTCCTCGATCGGCTTCCCGCTCCAGGCTTTTCCATCGCGTGCATCCTCATTTGCCCATATGCGATGGAATTTCTTCAAAGCAACTTTTGAACTCGCGAGATTCGTATCTTATTGCTCAGTGTTTATGTTCGTGCGTTTTCACAGAAGAAATAAGAAGTCCCGCTGAGGGATTGTGTGTTTCAGCACCCCTGGCAGTGGACAGCTCCACAGTTCAGACTGGAGAACAGCTGTATGGGAGATTTGTGTGGCCAGTACTGCACTGTAAAATGGTAAATGTTGGGTAGCAACTGTGGTTGCTAGAACTTTACCGGGAGAAATCGAGCGATGATGATACAAGCATGATAGGAGGGTATTTTGATGATTGTATTTTTACAGTTCCCAACTGTGTCATGTATTTATGTAACAGTATTATACGAATGACTTGTTAGAGCTATGAAAATCTATGTTACTGTACGACGTTTTGTTGGTAACACATGTGGAACAATGGAAAGCCAAGATTACTTAAAGTTGGTCTCCAGAGACTGTGGCCAATAATAAGTACAGACAAAACACCATCAGGGTAATGAAACTGACACTGACATAATGCAAAACGCATTAACTAAGCAACATAAAACACTCCACTGAATATAACTGATGACAAAATAAAAACAAACTAACCTTTTAAACCTGTTAAAAGTGATGGTTTACCAGGGAATTCCAGGAATCCTCCTTTCTCCTTATATATCAGGACAATTACATGTATTGCCTTGAAAAT